TATTTGATGTCTTATTGCGCCCCACCTACTCCCCGTGGCCCGCCATTTGAACAAACTTGAACTTTAATTATTTCATGATGCTTACATGTCAATACGAATAATCACAGCTCTGCTGTACTTCAAAGATTTTACAAGGTCTTTTCCTATTCTAATGTAAAATCTGAACAAACAAAAATATACATTTTCACAAGAAGCTTCCATTTATTTGTTAGTAAACTTATTATGGCTCTGCTATTCTTCAGATTTTTGAAGATTATGTATCATGATACTGTTTAAAATGTTGACACCATATTGTGCCCCTACCCCTGGGAAGACCATTTTTATGCCCCTCTTAGTTGAAGATTCGGGGGCATATAGCTTTTGGTATGATTAACTATCTATTTGTCCGCAAATAATTTTACCTTGGCAAAAACTTTTGAAACGGGATTTCATATAAGTATTTTTCATATGTTTTCCTCATAACAAGACCTTTCTTTGGATACCAGCATTTCTGACCTCATATCCTTGAACTCGTAATTTGACCCATTTTTGTAAAATTATACTTGGCCCTAACTTTTGAACGGTTGCTGCTATGGACTTTCATATTACAATTGTTTATTCCTTGTGACAAGACCTTTCTTTGGTAACCCAATGACCTTGACACTGTAGATTGACCTACTTTTGAAAAAGCTGTCATACGGGGGCATCAGTGTTTCATAATATTTTTTTTTCAATTTTAACATCGGGCGTGATGCCATCACACTCTATAAATTTCCATTTAGACTAAACTCTGAGACTGACGAAAAAAAATGCAAATTTTGCTTTTAAATCACTAATCACAACTAGTTAAGGTCTTCCGCTTCCGCAGTCTTCTACTGATTCTGATGGTTTAGATTATTAGGGTCTTTCGAGCTTCCTTCGGAAGACCCTTCTGTTATTCTACTGTTTCTTATTATTATTTTATATTTTTTACCTGCTGATTTTCAGCAGGTGATTTATCAGAGACCTTTTGTCCGATTGCTATGAAACTTTCAGGGTAAACACAATGTATTATTGCCTAAAAACAGTTTTTTCAAATTTTTGATGTATACATCCGTTAATGAGTTATCGCCCTTTAATTGATATTTGGAGGGCCTCTTGTCCAGCGAAAATCTCAGGAATGATATATGATATTTCCGTGAAAATTGGAGAACTTGTAACTAATACATTGCAGATGGCAGAACATTAAAACTGTAGGCTAATATTTTTAAGTTCAGAAGCTATGTGACGGCAAATTTTAAGAATTTTTTCCCATGAAATTTCGATGCTCTTTGTTTAATAACTTTTAAACTGATAAAAATTTGGTAAGACATATAGAACGAAAGTTGTGGGTAATTACGAGAGCTTTCAGTTCAAATCAAGAAAAAGGGGCTGGCCTCTGTATTCAGGGGACAGCAGGTCATAAATGAGTTTTTTTTGATAGCTAAAAATATTGAAATATTATGAAAAAGTTTGAATGACATAATTTCTAACATATTGAATCTTGTCATCTGGTATAAAGAGAAACAAGCTCCGTGTTAAATTTTATTCTATTTTATAAAATAATTATCTGAGAATCATACAGGAACAAGTTGTCTACAAACAAGCCTCGCTTTTTGGGGCATCGTAGCACATGCTCGTACGGTTTTAGATAGTTGTTGTGTCTTAAATATAATGTTTTGATTCGATTTCTCTGTTTTCTTTTTATTTAAAACGTTTATAAATGCGATTTATTTACACAATTAAAGGTAAATCAACATGTACTATGTATCCGTATAGAAAAGTCTTAATTGGGGCCTCTTGTTTGTAACCTGAATGTAAACAATCTGGATGCAAAATCTGTGTCACCGGATTCGTATAGTCATTCAAACCTGCGTTTGAACCTGGTTGATCTATAAAAAAGTCTAAAACTTTTTCTTCGAACAAATTAGATTAAATGTTCCAGGGTTAAATAGTTATCTGGAGGAATGGTTTTAGACTTTTTTAGAGATCAACCCGGGTTCAAACACAGTTTCGAATGAATAAACGAATCTGGCGACCCAGATATCGCAAGTAAATGTTCTACCGTGATAAATGTTTTCATGTCAGCAGAATGGGTATTTTTAATCGCATTTCCATTGCAAAACAACATCTGTGAGTCCAAAATACAGATGCATCAATCCTAAAACATCGATCGAAGTGGGACCCTGTTTGATTCTTCATATAATCCATTTCTGAACTGCTTTATTAGGCCTTTCGTAGAGAAATTGATGGGGAGTATTAAAACGAGCCATCAACTTCTCATAGAAATTAATGTAAATCTATACCAGCTGTATACTTAAAATATCTAACATTTCCAATATTTTACTGAGCGGTCATAAAAAATCGATGTTGGATGTTGTTCAGTATTTTTCTATGATATTAGTAGGGTTAATAGAAACTCTTTTCAAAATGATAAATATATAATTTGTTGTGAAATTGATAAATCCAAACTATAGATATTCGTCATATTGTACTTTGAGAGGTGGGTCCCAATAGCGTAATGGTTAGCAGTTAATTGTTAAAGGATGGAGAATCGGACGGAAGACCTCTCGTTGTTCGCAACGAGATCAAATCTTGTTATTCTTTTTTCATAGTTAGGGCGATATCTCAGCTGTGAGTGAACAGATTTAAAAGATTTTTTTCATGGAAGATGCATCATGAGAATATCTACAGACGTGTTTTTCATTTTTTGAAAATTCACTTCCGTTCGCGATTTTTGGGGACATTTGTATTTTAAAATGGAATTTTGTCCGTTAATTTTCTCGAGAATGGCTAAAGATATGAATATGAAACTTGCTGAGGTGATAGAGCATCAGATGTAGATATGGTGATCGACCTTTATTTTTCGTCGTTCGTACTTCCGGTCACAAGCGGAAGTGAATTCAAAAATGTGAAATTTACAACTTTTTTGTTTTTCAATATTTTTCTCTGGGATTTAAGGGTTAAGGAAGCACTAAACACTAACAAAAAGTGCTTTTAAGACTGGGGGAAAATATATCAGATAAAGGTGTGCATATTGAGTCTATTTAGTTCATTTTCAACATAGTGTACCTGCCTTATTTCTGCAGTAAAAATGTTCAAAGACAATGGACTATTTGTGAGCAGAAATCACTGTTGTTTACTTGCTTTGGGAAAATTAATGGAAATAATGAATTCAGTTACTTATTCTTGGTCTTATATAACGCTAAGAATATTTTAATCTATTACAAATTGTGTTATTAACTGTAAATAATTATTTTTTCTATCTCAGATCACTCTAACTGCATAAAACTACCCTATAAGCAGAACTCTTTAGTGTGCAGTGTTTATAATTAGAGCTTCCTTAAAGGAGAGTCTTCTAAGAATTTTATGTATGTTTTTATCATTTTGATTGATGCATTTATTGCAAAGATATGACCAATCCAAACTTTCTAGTATTGTTGCTGTTTCGAATCCTGCTGGGGCGGGAGATTGTTTATCTCTTTTTTCAGTTGTAAATGAAATTTCTCTACGTGAAGACATGTATGGTGGTTTTTGCTGATTTTTTAAAGCTTTGTTATCAGCGATTCTACAGAAAACCTTTAATAATCATGATCTATGTTGATAGACTGTGTTACATGAACGCAAACGAAAAATACATTGAATAAAGTATTAAATGAGGTGAGGTAGCATAGCCTTCTGGAGAAAGAAATCGGTCGGAAGACCACTTGTTGCCCTAGCAACAAGAAACGCATCTAGTTTATTGTTATTTCTTCTCCGGTACTTTTTTGTCCGCGAGTGTTCTCGGAAACTGCTCAGCCAATTGAATTAAAACCTTTTTAGGGTTAATAGGCATGTTGTGTAGATGTGCTCGTCAAAGGTCATTTTGCGCGCACATTCATGCACGTGCGGGCGCGTGCAATGAGTGAACTGACTGATGTACTTAATATAGCTGTAACTTTTATATTTTTTGATGAAATACTTTGAAACTCATAATAAAGAGACATATTAGTAATGTAAACAAGATGACATGGTCAGATTAGCATGAACTCACACGCATGCACGTGCGCTTTGCTCTGATCGGCTGAAACAAAAATCTCAATATCTTCTTTGTTTTTTGACAAAATACTTTGAAATTTAAGATATAGGTATATATTATAAGGTTCTACAATATGTTATAGATAGAAATTCTTGAGAACACGCGCAAGCATGTGTGCTGCAATTTGATTGGCTATATCTTCCTCAGTTTTCAACAAAAGAGGATAGAGTTTAGAATATAAATAGGTATTATAAGTTCGTATATAATGACACTATCCAAATTGAATGTAAGGACATGCATGCACGTGTGCTGAAATCTGATTGGCTAATAGTTTATAGGCTGTATCTCTCTTACTTTTCAATATAATTCTTTGAAACTTTAAACTTAGTTATACATTAGGACGTTTTACAATATGATATATATAAAATTTTGTGAAAACACGCGCATGCAGGTGTGCTGCAATCTGATTGGCTGAAGCTTTAAATATGGCCGTAACTTGCTTAGTTTTCAACAATACAGGATGAAATTTAGAATATTGATAGGCATAATGGGTTCCAACATTATGCTACGATCAAAATTGAATGCAAAAACATGCATGCACATGTGCTGGATTCTGATTGGCTAATACTTATATTACTATATCTTTCACAGTTTCCAATTAAAATCTTTGAGATTTCACACATAGATATTTAATGTGAATCTCTTTACGAGAAAGACATGAGAAATATCTAGAAAACATGAACAAGTACGTGCGCTCAAATCTGATTTGCTAATACTATAGGGACTATACTGGCGTTGTTTTTCGGTGAAATACTTTTGAAAATAAAGTGTAGATTTATTAAACAAAACAATTGCCTAATTTAATAAAGATTGTAGGGAATGAGGCCCAAAGTGGAATAGGGGGAGCGTTTGGGGAATATCTGTAAAGGTTCCTGTTACAATTAGTACTAGTTTTATTTATCTTCTGAAAATGATTTGTACTTACAGTTTTAAGTTCATTTGTCCATTTCCAACACATACATTTCTCATCATATTTACAATGTTGTACATAAACAATCCAAAACACGATGTTAAAGAGGTTTACAGTCATGTCAATCGAAGCAAATACAAGAAGAACAAGAGCATAGTCATTCTGGTTTCTCAGTCCTTCACTGTAGGATCCTAATGAAGATACATTGACATTGGACAAGGATTGGTCCATATTTTCAATGGAAGAATAACCATTTTGCCTTAAAATGACACAGCCAATCACAAGTGCTGCTCCTGTCACCTAAAAATACCTGGTTTAATTATAGTATGCAGAGTATTCTTGGCAATGGAGGTGACAATTACTACGCCCATATATAAAATAGATGTTAGATTTAGGGGGGGGGGGCAAACTTTGACTAGATATCAAACATCTAATACAGTAATCATTATAATTTTACAAAATATCTTTGTTATATTACCAACTGTCCTGTTACAGCAATGCAGTTGAGTTTTTGAAGAAGTGCCCCGAAACCCTGAAAATACATCAACAATATTATTTATTTTTTTATTAGATGATATATGATAAAATTTAATAAAACCATTAATTCAAAGATTAAAGAAGTCTAGCAGATAATTGATCTGATGAAAAAATGTTGTCGACCAGTTAGTCTTTAAGTCAGCAGTGCCAATTGGTTTTTGATAATTACTACACTGAAAAATATATGTACAAGAAAAAAAGAAGGAAATATAGAATATAGGAATACTTTCATTATTAAAAGAAAGTCTTGATAAAACTTATGCTTTAATACTAATTTTAACAACAAGTATTATGAGTTTCTGTTGTCACTTAATCATTTTGAAACCCCCCCCCCCCAATTCTTGAAATCACCCATCGTGTTACTTTCATACATGTACAGTATTTCTATTATTGCAAAACAAGTACATGACTGTATATTTTATCCTGATAGCGGGACTTATATTCTTATGGGTGGATTCAGACAGATATACTATAATGAAATAAGACAGTTCAATTTAATTTTAAATAAAATATATCAGTGGTTTGGAATTTTTAATATTTTGCAAGGGTAATTGTTTCTTAATATATTTTTGGAATGGTGAAATCACCGTATTACATATACAAAGCTGAAACTAACTTCATCAGCTCAATTTTTGTCGATTTTATAAAAGAGTTCCAGAATATAGCATGCATGGCATTGTACATGTATGTGACTAAAAAATCAGCTTCAGTCCAGTTAACTAATGCAAAGGCATCTAGATTGGGAGTCGTAAATATTATAATTTTCGTTATGGGTATTTCCTGTGTGGACAGAGTGGTGGATCTGTATGTTTTTTTTATGTCACGTGACATGGTCATAAAAATAGCAAGTGGATGCTTAAAAAGTCCCTCTACCGCTCGTATAGAACGTAGTATTAGGAATGGAAACCAGTAAATTAGATCCACACAGAAATATATACGTATTATTATATGGTAAATAAATTTTTAAAAAAATGTATTCGGATGTGTTGTAATAAACGTTCTAACGAGCAGCATTCCATATACATGAGTTAGTTATATTTTCAAAATTTATTTATGAATAAAGAGTAAAATGTATATTCGAACAAACGTAGTGAGGGAGAATATAAGACAATGTTTTATGTATATATCATTACAATAAAGTTCCTGAGCCCTGCCTCGGGCTATACACACAAAGAGCTAAACTATAACTTTCTTATGGCCGGTTACGTATCTCGGATTTAAACCCTCGATCAGTGAGTCCTGGTTTAAATCCAAGTTTATGCGTTTAACACAGGCGAGGCTTTGCTGGGTACAGCTCAGAATTACGATAAATTCTGAACCTGGTGTAGGGATGGTGTAAACCTGGCCTGATGGTGTTTCCATTGAGTTTTGGTAAAATGTATTATATTACTAGTGGAGCTAGTCGTAGATCTTAGTGATAAGTTAATGATTATTCTAAAGCAAAAACAAATAGTGCCAAATGACAACTGTACAAAAAGAAGAAACAAATCTACAGGCATTGTATTAACAGTTTGTTATTAAAACTATAATTTAACCAGTAAGTACTTGTACGTGCTTTACAAATTCAAATTATTGCGCCAAGTGAACTATTTGATGATGATGTCTTAAAAGGCGATCTACATGCACGTACTATTTATATTAGATGTCATAATATTATTCTGCGAATTATCTTATTACATCACTGAAACTCTTGTAAGTATATTCTTATATTAAATGGTAATAGATTCTTCAACAATAGCATAAACAATTCAAGATCATATTAACCTTGTCAGGTAAATGGTACTTCAAGTAAGGAAATGAGCATATATGAGAAAAATATGTGGGACCAACACAACAGTATAATCAATAAAGAATTACAAACAATGGCATGGTTTATGGCATATTCGTTTATAATTTACTGATACCCCCTCCCTCATCTTTTTCAAAAAGACAATGACAATATTAATTTTTTATTATAATTACCTAACTTTAAATTTTCATCGTAAATCCATGTTTATGTCATTTTAAGCAATAATGATTGCTTACCTTGCGTTTTTCTTGGTTTTCCATTTTGACTCTCTTAAAATTGCATAATATTGCTTTTGTTTAAAGGAATTTTTGTATGTCACCCTATGGTTTGTTTATCCCAGAATGATTTTTCCTTTAGTGGCTCCTGAAATGAAAAGGAAATGCACAACATGCAAGAATCTGCTAGCAGAATAGTATGATTTAATGCCTAACGCACAAAATTCTGGAGAAAATCTAGAACAACAATTGATATTTGTTAATGTAAAGAAGTTGCGGTTGTTACAATGATTCGTCCAAGAGGGTGTCTTGACTCTAGTTGGAAGCATAAAAACGAAAGTCTAGCAAAATTACGGAAAAAAGGAAATGAACCGTGTACGTCTTTTTCTTTGTAGTTTGGCTTACATTTTACTGCAGTGATTATGGCTTCAGTCGCAAAAAATATTAGTTATATCTGCCAAATAAATATAAAAAATGTTTACGTCAGACTTAGTTAAAAAAAGATAAGTATTTTCAGTGATAAAGAATTTAACGTTTTGCTCAGCCAAGAGCTCCCAGCACCCAAAAATGTCTAAACGTCGAGACCCAGAATTTTAATTGAATGTGTGCATGTGATACTATAATATCAAAGATTTTTTCACTATAGTAAATCAAAGTATTTTTACTATGGATTTCAGAGCGTTATATTTTTTGTTCTTCAATTTATACCTGTACATATTTCATATTAAATTGAAATATTATTTGTATATTCACACATTATTTCGAAATTTTACATTACTGTTATCGAATTTTAGAGATTTTAAACTTTGAAATTTCAAAACACGTTCCAGAGTAAAGTTTCATTGTAAATCAAAGTGTCAGAGTTTTCACTATAGTTAACTATAGTAAACTATAGTTAACTATATTAAATTTTTGTTAGGGAGTGTTCAGAGCTGACTTTATTATTCGTTTCTCGCTTTAAAGACGTTCTCTTTATTTTCTAAATCCGTGTAAATGCTTATATATGAGTCATTTGTATACATATTACTGATAATTATGTCGGATACTATTTTTTCCAGAATTTTCACTTCTTACAGCCGATGGTATATTTATTCCAAATGCTCATTAAAAGTTTTTGCCAATGATACAGAATTTATAAGTAGCTATAGAAGCACTTTCAAATTATTTTTATTCATCTCTTGCAAAATTTCCTGGCTTGATGAAGAATGTAGATAATAAAAAAAAAATAGTAGTCTATCACAGCTTCCTCGTGTTTATTTTTCTGACAATTCAATGTGTTATGATTCTCGCAGTTACGAATAGAAAATAGTTTACGATACAATACATGTACGAGGGGTGATCAAAAAGTTCGCGAACTATCTTTATATTTACAAAACCACTATTGTCGCCCGCGTGACGCAGTGGTTAGAGAGTCTGCTCTAGAGTCGCGGAGTAAGGAGTTGATCCTTACGTCGCGGGTTCGAATCCAACTGTGGGACGTGGAGACCGGTCCTTCGGATGAGACCGTATAAACCGAGGTCCCATGTCGCAGTAGGTTCTGGCACGAAAAAGATCTCTCACTGCGCAATGACCGTAAGTGCCGAGCATAGGACAAAATTTGCAGCTCTTCACCGGCAAGTGGTGGCGTCTCCATATGAGTGAAAAATTCTCGCGAGGGACGTTAAACAACAAACAAAAAACAAAACCACTATTCGGATCGTAATGAAATTTGGCTCACATATACTCTAAATAGAAGATTTTACTTTATGTCTTGCTCTATGTTTATGACGTCACAGTGTGAAAATGACGTCAATATGTAGATGACGTGTGACAAAAAATGGCTGACTCAGTCGTACTCGAGTAACGAAAGGCTCTAAAGCTTAACGTATGTCTTGGAAATTTCTTTGCAGTAGCATATACACTGTAATAATTTGTACAAGGTTTATGAAGACAAAAGACTTGCCAGAAGTCGAATCATTAATTGGATCGATTGTTTTAGTGAAGAAAGGGAAATGGTTAATAATAATATTTGATCTGGTGCCCAGTAAAAGTAAGCTGGGGAAGAGATGTATCCTTAATCAAGCAATTTGTTATAAAAGGTCGCCAAGTTACAGTTAGAAATATATATGAATATCTTAAGAATATTATAATTATTAAATCCCTAAAATACGGTTTAAATTAGACATAAAACATATCGGATATGATAAAAAGAAGGCGCCCATACGTTATCCACAGTGGAAAAAAGACGGAAAAAAGTGATGGTCACCATGCTTATTCTGGGAAAAGATATCCTTATCCACCAATCCTATTGCCGAGATTTGGCCATTTGTGACAAAAGAACTATTCTTGTTTTAAAAATTAACTTCCATGGTAAGAAATATAAGACTCGGAAAAACCTTTTAGCTTATGTGAACAGAACGCTACGGAGCATGTCACGTGACCGCCTGATCACGTGATTCGCGCATGGGCAGAACGGTAGCAGATGTGCATTAAAATCTGAGTGGGCTACTTTAAAAAATAATAAACACCGAAATCTAATTCTGTTTCTTTTATGGAAGTTATTCGATTAGTTCGCGAACTTTTTGATCACCCCTCGTATGTATATTTTAAATTATATATACTTATCATGTAATATGCATCGGTCTATGAGAGGTAATTTCAGGAGGATAACTGGACAAAATTGCTTGACTAGCAAATTTAGTAGTAGAACCTCTTCTTCGTAATTTTAAGAAATGGATGTAATATATAGTGTGCAAATATGAACTTGCAATCCCTACCCTTATAACACACGTCTTTCGTAAGTTAGTCCATGACACGCCCCCCCCCCCTCCCCCACCAATCCCTATTGAACAGATTTTTTCCCCTTTTAAGAATGTTGAGTCTTTTCTGGTAAAAAAATTTCTGAGTCGCTTTTTCTTTTTCCAGCAGTGTACTGAATTCCTTTCTATCTCCCCCTATCTTCCCGTCGTAGGCAAAATTTCTGGATCAATCCTTGGCATTTTTAAGTTGAATTTTAACATATCACAACATATCACAACATCCAAGAAAAAAAGTAAAACTAGATGAGCTCATAAATTCATATTTTTCATTGTTACATGTCATATACACAACTTTGAAATATATGGAATTTATATTACGAACTCATAAGTTGCAGAATGGGGGGGGGGGGACTTTTCACATTCACATTTCGCGGCCCTCTATCAACACGCAAATTATAGATAAAATTAAAAAAAATACCACAGGAACAAAAAAATCAAATTTTCATAATCTCAATGTACAGTTTAGAACTTAATTATGTGCTGATTATTTCTGTTCTAGTTTTCCATTTGAGATCGAGACTCCCTGATTCAGAATTTTTCTTATGTAGGGAAAAAAATTCGTAATGTTATGAAGCGGTGGGATTTTTAATACATATATATATTTAATACGTATACATTTATTAATATTTGGTAACGATAATGAAACTCAAAAACGTAGATGAGAGTTTTTCTACCTACACTTTATAATCACAAATTAAGGAATACATGATTGTGTTTCCAGTGTATCCTGTTGGATATTTTGCATTTCAGGACAATACACGTATAAAGCGCACATTTATAAGCACATTATCTGGATTTAGGTGTGAAATGTTTGCGTATATCAATTAATTGAAAAGATATACCGTTTAAAGATCTGACTAATTTTACAGCTTAACGGCACATTCAGATCGTTATTCACAAGGAAAAACAAAATAAAACAAAACAGCAAAGGTGTCTAAACACTTATTTCTTTGGGAATACCTTTCAATGACTACCTTCTTTCCTTCTTACCAACAGATCACGAGGGGTCTGTACATGTTTCCTCGGGAATATTTTCTCATCTTTTGGGGATCTTTACTGGAAATCTTTAACAAGTCTAAAAATCCAATGATGAAGAGGAGGGGCGCACTGACTTGATCAACTTAGTCAAAGCCCTGGGGGAGGCTCAGTTTTCTGCTGGATGTCGCGGACCAATGTCAGTTAAATTTCAGAATTCCAGTAAAGTTTGCATAATTTTTTTTCTTTATGGACTGGGTTGCTCAAAACCTTGGATAGCGCTAACCGCTGGTTAAATCTCTTATCCAGCGGTTAACTTTTCACCATTGGCTAAATTTTGTTGCTCAAAATTTATCCACTGGTTAACTTTGCTAACCAGTGGATAAAATATTGGCCAAAGCTAGCCATTCCACAGAGGTGGGTTAAGTCTCTTATCCAGTGGATAATCATGGCTACCTTGTTATTGTTTTTTGTAAATTTTGAAGGATAACAAAGGAAACAAATTAAGGCTTATATGTATTGTAATCATGAATTTAATGTTGATGAGTACTAACAAAGATAGTCATTTATAAGTCAAGTAGAAATGGCTTTGTAGCAGTTATATGGAAGAGGGGATAACAACACTATCAGAGATATGATTTCATGTCTTCAGCATCAGCAAGAATGGTTCGAATGGGTTCTTTCAAGGCTAAAATTGTTGGTGTTGCAAAGGATTTCATCAAGTGGCAATCCTCTGCTGATAAAAAAAATGATGATAAATATATGTACATGTAAGTATAAATATTTACATTTTAAAGTTTCTTTGTCTGAGATAAAACTACAAATAATAAAAATACTTCATTTCTACATAAAGCTACTTGTTCAACGATAGGCGTGGTAAAAAAAAAAAAACACTTGCGGGGCGGGACAGAGAGGGAGACAGCGGGGCTTGTACAGTAGCACGTGAATTTCACGAATCATAAGGAATGTCGACAGATTTTGTTTAGTTAATTAGACTACACTACAATACATAATTGTGCATATGGGTTTTTGATTTCAGTGAATGGTGTTGCCATGGTAACTAAATATGGACATTTCTGTGAAATACTTTCAAAGCGCTACTCCACCGACAGTTTTCGTTTGATTTCAATATAACTTGGCACACAAGTAGATAGCTGCAGCACTGTAGCTCTCTGGTTGAGAAAATTCGGACTGATAAACCAGAGAGCTACGTGCACGGATCCAAGCATTGTAAAAACCTTCGATTTACGCCGCCGCTTTTTTGTCGCTCGCTTCGGGTATTACATGTATTTCTTGTATTTTATGCGTTCCACCGCTTCAAATATGGTCTCCGATAATAAAATATTAAGTTATTTTCTTCCATTCCTAACA